CTTCATCATTAAGTCTCCATTTAAGTTTTAACAACAACTCATTCAAAGTTAACTACAATCTATCTAGGCTTTAATAAGTTCAAAAAATGAATAAGATAGGTCTAATTGTACAAATGTTAGTCCTCAATAATTATATATTTAGGTTTTCACAACAATTCATTTAAAATTAATAACAATCTATTCGGGTTTTAACAAGTTAGAAAAGTTGATAGGATGAGTTTAATTGTCTATATTAGTCTTTCATCAACAAATATTTATTCAGATTTTGACAACAATCTATTCATGATTAATAACAATACATTTAGATTTTTAACAAATAAAATAAATGAAGTTTTAAAACTCTTAATTTATTATTATCCATGTCAAATTAACAAGTAACATTAACAAAATAACAAGCACCGTTCAAGAATTAACAACACACCATTATATTATAACATGAAAATGGTTAAAAGCTTGATATACTACTTATATATTTTTGCCATATATAATTAAAAGGCCAAGTGATTAAAGGGTCATGAGATCAACCCCTCCCTTAACCACCTTTACCAATCATTCTTTAATAAAAGTGTTGCTAGTGTTGGAGCTCTGGTAATGTGACCCTACTAGTGACAAAGGCTCCAGTGACCTCGCTGCCGCCAAGGGCTCCTGTGGAGGCAACAATGGGGTGTCTTTTTTATTTTATTTTAAACTTTGTGGGCAATTTAGTCACTTCATTACAAAATTAATATTACTCAAATATCAAGGGATTGTAGTGCAATTTTAAAATCTATTGATCCTTTATTAATATAAATTTTTTTTAATGGTCCTTGGCTAATATTTTCACACAGATTAACTATCTAGCTAGTTGCATACCTTGATGATGATACACATACCAACATAACATGTTGTGTTAACAATATTTTATAAGAAAAGATTTGAGTACTTAACCTTATTTATTTACTATACTTTTTTAAATCAAATCAAAACAAGTTAATCTTAAAGTATTAATAATATTGTCTGAATCTCTAAGAAATATCCATATCTAATGCTTAATAGTGCGTCAGACTAGATTTCCCTAATAGGAGGATATGTGGGAAGCAAAAAAACAACATCGTAACAAGATTTTTTATGGAATAACTAATATACAAAAAATTCACATGTATTGATTTTATTGAAAATAAATAAGTACTTTAATTACATATTATTAAGTATATAAATTTTCCCCTTCTTTATATGCGCGTGTGCGCGTGCGTAACGAGTCATGAGTTGTGACGTGTTGTCCATATTTGCTGTTTTGACTGTTCAAACACCACTACATCATACATGCTACATGAAAGGAATCATGTTTTCTAAATGTTTAGTTTTATATGGTTAATTAATCTTATTGGCTACTTTTTCTCATGAAGTATATGAACGAACTCAGGTAAAAAAGAAAATACTGATGAGACGTATTGTTGGTCCCTTTTGTTGTGCTTTAATTACACAGACATTTCTTTTATTTTAAAAACTCATAAAATTAAAATATATGTCACATGAATTTTCTTTGTGTATTTGATATTTTACTTTCATCCATTCAACCATACCATCAGTTATCTATCAACTTTGATTGTTAAACTTTTAGTTTGACCAAAATGCACTTCTTTAACAAAAAAAATTATCTAAAAATCTATATTTTCCAAAAAAAAAATTGTTTTCGTATACAACTAAAAAATTTAATAAATATATTTTATATTTTTATTATATTATAAAATTTATTATTTTTATTATGTTAGAAAATTTTATTTTTTATGAGAATTATTTATTTATATTTTTTTAAAAGTGCTAAAAACATATTTCAAACACATATTTTTGTTTATCACATAACATAAAATGATATAAGTTTGAGATATTATATAAATAATTTAAATTAAAAGCTTAAAATTTGTAAACATGTTTTCACAATGAAATTATGTAACTGTCAAAATAATATAATTTATGATTTATTAAGGTGAAGGGAAAATTAGTAAATAATTTTTTTAATATAAATTTTAGTTTAAAATAGGTTTTTTGGAATCTTTTTAGAATATTCCTAACAAATTTAATCGATTAGGCTAAACTATATGTTTTTAAAATAGAGAGAAGATCTTCATAATTAAGGCAAAATAGAAGGGTGATGACAGTATTTTATTCTATATATATTGGACAGGGTTCCATAGTTACAAAATAGTTAATTATTAAATATAACAATCCTTATAAAGAAAATTCTTTGAAATATTATATCATTTTGTATTTTAACAATTATATCCTGGATCATAATATTTTAAAAATTATAACATTGTTAATTGAGAATAAAGAATTCAAATTTCAAAACTGTTGGGGCTCTTAACAGTGTGTTTGGATAAGGAAAAAAAATCAATTTTCCCCCTCCCAAATTAATTTTTTTAATAAATTATCCAAACAATCAAAATAAAATAAAAATTGATTCTGACGTATTACGCGCATTTTCTCGTAAGCTGGTGGAATCAGCTTTTGTCAAAAGTTTATTAAAAAACATTAGAGAAAATTACAAAAGAAAGCCCACAAAAAAATTATAAATAAAGCACATAATTTAATAAAATAAAATTAAATTCTTTTCTCTTCTCTCTCTTTTTTTTCCTTAATAAAATTTACATTTTGTATCCTCAAAAAATTAATTTTTTATATTTAAGAATTAAATTATATAGTAATTTATATAATTAAGATTGATTCTGATTAAATTATCCAAATATTTTTAATTTTATTAAAATTAATTTTAAAAAAACAGTATCCAAACAGATTGCATCATAACATAATCAATTATAATTAAAATTTATCATTTAATTAATTATTTTTATAATCTATTATACCTAACTGAAATCCAAACGGACACTAAATAGTTTGTGTTTGAAGTTTTTTTTTAATGGAATGGAGCAAGATGCCATGAAATTTTATACTTATTTAGTTCTATTTATAAGTTATTTTGAATATATTTTATATGAACAATGAAAAATTTAAAATCTCATTAACTTTATTTAAAAATTTAATAAATTCTCAATTTGTCTTTATTAAATATACATAATTTAATAGTATATTTTCTTTCTTTAACATTTAATGAAAGTAAAAAAAAAAAGAATTATGACGAACATTTATTTATGTGTTTTGTAAATAGGACAAAAAAAAACTTATTTCTCTACAATGCAAATAGAATAAAAGGGAGTACCATTATTTCGGAGAATTTTTTTAAGATTGAGGGAAATCGTCTTGCAGGCGTACCTTAACTGTTCTAAATATACGCTATAGATTTAAAGAAACAAGAGATTTTTAGCCCATTAAAAATATGATAAAAAAATGAAACAAAAACTAAAGATAGTGAAGTAATTAAACATTCCCTTTGCAACAGTTACTTGTTCAAAACGAGCCTGTCTTATGTACCAAAGAAAGCCCAAAAATCACTCGTTCTGCTATTCAAAGCCCAAACGCAATCCTTCTTTGTCTGGGATTTGAAGGAGCACAATCCCGTCCAAATCGTTTTATCAAAAAAAAAAAAAAATCAACCTCGGTTCAGAGAGCTGGGAAGAATTATTATTATTGTTAGAACGTAGAAGAGGAGAGAGTAAATTCAATCCCTTTGTTAGTACTGGTAATGAAAAAGATGATCTGATCTCTTATGCCTTCTCTAACAACAAGTTCCTGAATCTTTATGATTGCACTGTTATGGTTTGGGTTTCCTGTTGAGCAACAATCTTCATGGGCTAATTCAGTTTATTTTGTTGTGCTTATATATGATTTGTCAAGTTTCATTCATGTATGACTTTAAAATTTAACTTGGTATAACTTAAGTCTCTGAAATTTAAACCATTTAGTAAATAAAGTGATCCTACACTTCAAAATTTAACTCACTCAGAACAACATTTTTTAAATAAGTTTGTCCCGATACTTCATGATTCAGTTACAGCTCAACTTAGTTAAAAATATTAGTTATTTTTAATGATAATCTTTGTTGTTTATTTGATTAATACAAAGTAAATTTATATATTTTGAAAAGCATGACCTTAAATTGTTATCCCCTTCATATATTTAATTTCAATCTCAATTTTGGCTACCATTTATGAAATAATATTTTTACAATATATTTTTGTTATAAATGCTGTAGTTAACACGAGGCATATGTTTTCACCAAAACATGAGATACTTAAGATTCTAAATTAAATATAATATTTTAAGGAGCATGAAAATATACCTCTAATGTTTGTAAATTTATGACATGTAGTGCTCTACCTTTTCCCAACAAGAATAGACTGGGAAAAAGAAAACGACAATGGGAAAAAGAGAAAGAATGTAACTAGGTTTCTTTTTTTGGCCAAAATGTAACTAGGTTTGGAAAGTATATTTAGTAGACATCACAATATTTTTTTTTAAATAACTTTAAGAATCTTCTAAAAATATTTAGTACAATGAATTTTGAATTTTTTTAAATCCTAAAAAAATCAAATTTTTGTTGAAATTAAATTGTCATTATTAGTTTATTTTTTGATATTTATCTATAATATTTTAGTATTTTCAATGCTTAAATTCAACATTTATTTTTATTTGTAACATTTTAATGTTTAAGTTTGAAATTTTTAATACTTATATTTCAATTTTTAACTCTCATTTTTTAATTTTTTAGTATAAAACATTAAATATGAATATAAAAAATATTTAAGCCGAATGTTGAAGAAATTGAAACAATAAGTAGAGAAAATAAAAAAAACTAAATACTAAAAAAAATTAAAAATGGTTATTGAAAAAATCAATTGACCCAAATTTTAATTCTATCCAAGAATTATGATTTTTTAAAAAATCAATTCCCTATTTGTGATTAATATTTTTACCTGGCCTCTGTGTCCAAAAATTTAAATGGAATCTATGAATAAATTTTATCTGATAAGCCTAAAAATATTAAAATACAATAATGTTCTTGCAGAAAATAAATTAATAAAATTAATTATGACCTCCATCAAAATTTCGTTACGCGATGTCGTCTGGCAGAAGAAGCAGATCCATTTTTCTTCGTCGACGAACAATCACTCCACACTTGGTCGAGCTCGCCGTCGGACGCAGTCCACCGTTGTCAGCCCTGCGTGGTTGTTTCACGCAAGTATTGAAGAAGGTCCGAACCCAAGGGCTTTGTCTTCTTCCCAAAATCCGGTGAGATTGATTTGTTCAATCTGGCTTTGAATCTAGATTGGAATCTGTTCTCCGCATCATTTTTTTTCCCTGCGTGGTTGTCAACCATGTGTCGGATACCGTCGCACCGTTTCTTGCGTTGTTTTATTTATTTTTTAATTTGGCTTTGAATCTGGTCATGTACTCGTCTGAATATTGACGCTTTTGAATCTGGGAAGAGTTACAGATTGAGTTTAACTTCTTTTTTTTAACTTTGATTCCTAGTTTTTGCTTGTAGTTGTGTAATTGGCTATTGTACTTCTGCCCTCTACATTTTGATTACTAGCGACCTATATGGTCTGGATTGTGTTGTCCAGCAATGCTGGATTTGTTGTGTATCGGCATTCTGTTTATCAATCTCTTTTTCTTATCATCAATGTAGAAAATTCTCAAGGTATTTGTGATGCATGATCTGGCAAATGACTTTGCTCGATTTGTGTCTGGCAATTTAGAAGCTCGAGTTTAAGTCATTTCCTGCTGCTCATTGGTCTGTAAATTTAGAAGCTATTGACGGATTGCGCACCGAACTCACTCTAGGCAACAGTTTTCATGATCTCATATTGCAAGAAGAAATTGGATAAATTGCAAGGGTGTTATCATTGTCATTCTTCAGCGAGTTGCCTGAATCAATTGGGTTACTATTACTGAGGCATCTTTGAGAAAGTATCTGGAACAAAAATTATACGGGGTATGGTATCAACTATGCATATTTCAAAGATTTCAAGGGGGCCAGATGCCCCTGCTGAGTGTAATATAGGTCTGCCCATGCCTGTGTGTAATGAATTTACTTCTACCTGTTGGATCTACTATATTTTCAGTGTACATGAATAGCTTCGTGATATCCTGAATCCATTTGGGTATATATGATTTTGATTGTAAATTTTGAGATTCAAGTTTGATCATATATGAAGGTCGCTTTTGAATTCAACAATGAGATTCTACGCTGATTTGGTGTGTGTAATGAGTTTATTTGTCAGCTTGCCCTATTTAATCTTCACTACTCCATTTTGAGCACACTAAGGATTCAGATGGTGGTTTTATTGGGTCAGAAATGAGAAGAGGAATATCTCGTGGAATGAAGGAGGTTATTTTTTTTTCTTGATTTGTCCTATCTCAACACCTAGACTGTAGAATTTAATTGGTGTGATGTGCTCATGAGTTTTTCCTGCACTTACTATGTTTGCTTGGTTATTTGAGGAATTTCTGGTTTGCTGTATAATTTTATTTTTTCCAACATTGAATTGAGCCAAAACATTTTTCTTGAAATATCATTTATTTTTCATTCATATGTTGAGCAAGTTCTTCATCCATCAATGGTGGATTGCTCACAGCTTAAAAGTTTCGTCAAGCTTGTCTTTTTTCCCCTTTACTTTCTTGTAAGTGATGTACACGAAGTTCATGACATTCAGACAAGAAGCCTATGGAAGCCCTCTTAAGGCATGGCACTGTTGACTCAATCAGACTGCAGGATTTTAGTCAATTAAGAGATGCATTATTGTTGTTTCCTTCACATACAATTGGTTTCTATCAATACGACATGTGATGCTAAATAAGCAAAATCTGTGTTTAATTAAATAGCTTTGGTAAGCATGGCATTGATTAAAGTTGGACATTCAAGGATGGAATAAAACCGAAAGAAATGATTATGCAACTGTTGATAAATGGGTCAAAGTCTGTAGCCAGAAATTTGTTCTAGATATTGTATATTTCTTTTTTAATATTAGCATTTAGCTATATAATTCATTGAGAAAGCACACTTTCTTGTAGATGGTGCGGCTAAAATCAACTTCATTTGGTGCTGGATTGGTGTAGAGTCACTTAGCCAAGATGGCAATCGTTACTAAGATCAAATGGGTCATTCTTTCTGTAATCACTTTATCTGTGGCATCTGTTGTCCTTCATCTATCCTTTGCAAAGTTTTGGACTGTTAGCATATTGCAGTATGGAGCAGTGACTGGTCTTCCTGAAGATTTTGCTTCCAGAATGGGGAGACAGGTGATTTTAGATTTACATGATCTGTGTTGAAAGTTCATGTATTCTGTGTTTTATTTTAATTTTCAACATTTTAACATTACATGCTGGTATTGTATAGGTTATAAAGAATAAGAAGCTATGGGGGGCCATAGAGTCTCTGGAAACTTTGCAGCCTTATGTCAACCCTAGAAGCAGTTATTCTGGTAATACTATTGCTCAAGATTCCTTGCACTTCATTAGAGAGATGTTGTAGGTATGAAAGTGTGCAACATAATTTGTAGTTGAGTGGGTAGGTCACATAGATTTGTTGATGGGTAGAACTTTTATATTATTATGCCTTTTTCCTACTTTAAGTTTCCAATTGAAAAATGAAGTTACATTCTCAAATTTTTAGGTGTAGATACTACTTGGAAAATAGTTTCCCCCCCCCCCTGGAAACTCCACTTCATCAATTCGATATTCTTATTACCAATGTAACTGGAAAAGTATAGAAATTGATGCATACTTAAGATTGTAAATAGAGGGTTCTCTGGTTGTCAAAGAATATAAGTTGTGATAATAAGATTTAATGGTTTTCCATCTTTGACAATTTGTACAGCATAATTGTTCTTCCTGTCATCACTCATCATAATAACAATATTTCTTTCCTTTCAATTTCATGCTTTATATTTTTATTTTGAAGTGATTGTTCCTGTACCTCACAGTTCCAAAGGAGCAGTACAATGGTTTCATCTACGCAAAAGTTTTTGGTGGGTTTGCTCAGATAAGATCTTCGGTATGATTCACCAGGTACATTGGATTTTTTTTAATGTTTTTATGTGATATTAAGTCTAGAAAATATGTTGATTTTGCAGATCTGTGATCTGGTTGCAATATCCAGGCTTTTAAATGCTACCCTTGTCATCCCAGAAATTCAACAAAGTACTCAATCAAAAGGCATTAGGTATGTGTCCCAAGGTTTCAGGAGTAATTTGTATGCATGTGTGATTTATGTTATCAAATATTTTCTCACCCTTCTGCTTAGAATATATATATGTATTTACGTGCACTTTTAAAATTTCATTCAGCTCAAAGTTCAAGAGTTTTTCATATATCTATAATGAGGAGCAGTTCATAGCATACCTGAAAAATGATATAATCATTGCGAAGACTCTGCCTGGAAATTTAAAGGAGAGGAGGAGAAGAAATGAATTTCCGATATTTAAGCTCAAAAGTTCAACTTCTCCAAACTTCTACATAGAAGAAGTTCTACCAAAGCTAAAGAAATCAAAGGTTATTGGGTTTATTATTTCCGCTGGCGGATGTCTGCAGGTATTTCATTCGTGAGATCATCAATTTATGTTTAAACCATAGTTGCTGTCTTTTATATTCTGTTTCTTACTTCAATGAGAACCTGTCTTTTGTTTTCCTTTTCCTTTCTTCTTCTTCTTCTTCCCAAAATAAAACACCAGTACCAAATATTTTCTATATGGCAGCAATTCGAACAGATTTTGCATCTCTGAATGCCCTTTAGATCTTGGAAGTTTTGCACTAACCTTTACTTGAGTCTTGAGATTATTGTACTTTGTCCTATTTTTGATGTTCTTAATTTCTTATGGACTTCCATGCTTGCCATGTGATTGACAAATGGACAGAAGAAGTGATTAATTTTAACTAATATCATGTGCTTGATACTTAATAGCATGATGCCTAGGCTTTCAGTAATTCATTCCTTACTTTGGACTTTAAAAGTTTCTAGTAGAGAATCCCCCCTCCCCCCCCCCCCCAAAAAAAAAAAACCCCATAATTGTCATGTTTTTTGCCTGTGACTTTGTTTCATTGACCAAGATACTATAGTTGTCCTGAGACCTATTTGCATTCTCTTTGCAGTCAATTCTTCCGCCTAGCTTGTCAGAGATTCAGAGGCTAAGATGCAGGGTTGCCTTCCATGCGCTCCAATTTCGGCCTGAAATTAAAATTGTCGGCCAACAAATGGTTAACAAGTAGGCATGCCTTTCAGTTGACAAATTGTTTTCTATAGTAACATATAAAGTAGAAGCTCCCATTTTTTCTGTGCTTGAGTCAATACCCTACTTTTTTGCAATTATGTTTCTAATGCTTTGTATTTGTATGATCCCAAACAATAGAGAATCGTCACTAATAATTATAGGATTTTCTTGGCATTAGTGTGTTACGTTGAGTTTTTATACAGTTCTCATGCCATCCCATATATCACTAATCTTTACTCCATTAATGTATAAGAGATTTGTACTGTCTGTTGAAGGTTAAGAGCATTGGGGCAGCCCTTCTTAGCGTTCCATCCTGGTTTACTGAGAGACATCTTGGCTTATCATGGTTGTGCAGAACTTTTTCAGGTTTTTTTTTTGATGTTTTCTCTTTCATATGGCCTAGGAATGATGGGGCTATGTTTCTATATTGATATTACTATAGTGCATGTATTTGTTACAAGTTTTAAAGGGCATTATAAAATGATAATTTCATGAGTCTGATCATCTATGCTCAGCTTCTTCCCATGTTTTCTGGTTATTTTATTAACCTTCTCTATGCTAGGATGTGCACACTGAACTCATCCAGCATCGAAGGGCTCAGATGATAAAAGAGAGAATCATTAAAGAGGAATTGAATATTGATTCACGTTTGCAAAGGGATAAAGGTTTATGTCCTCTCTCGCCTGAAGAGGTATTCTAGACTTGCTAATCTTCTTGAAATCCTTTACAAATGTAGAAGTTAAAATGTAGATTTCATATCCTCAGTTGAAGTGGACTCTTGCACTATAGGACAACAGCCTAGATAAGCCTGATTTATTGTAGTCCTGGACAGATACGAAATTGTGTACTTTGCATTGATATGCAGTATACCAATTAAGTGCTAAAAAAGGATAGATCCAGAACCTTTTGGCCAGTGTTTAATAACATGATATTTTACAATGAATGCAAGAGGTTAATGTCATTAGGACAGTTCCTTGAGATATTTCTTGCATTATTGTCTGCTGCAATTAGCGGAAATGGTGGTGGGAGGGCCCTTTCACGAATGCCCATTGAACTAGAATCGTAATTGTACATGCACTCAAGTATATGTGATTTGAAATACAAAGAAATAGGCCCTCTTGGTTTCATCATTTACCTATCCCAGGAGGGGAGCTTATATCATTGTGCAAAAATGCATGTCGAAACCTGCAAATTTATCTGGAGCCACTCGAAGAGTTACGACTCAGATTTCATAGCAATGTTTTGGCATCTAGTTTTATGCTTTATGTACAAAATTCTGTAAGAAAAGGTGAGTTATCATTTTAATGGTTGCCACCTCTAACACACGATAGGAAGCATTAGAATTATTTAATAATAATGTCGTTTGAACTTGATCTGTTGGTAACAATATGAAGTGTAATAGTAGAGGAGTGGAATTATTTTTTTTCTATCTCCGTGATTCATGTACTTCATTCTGTCCAATTTTGTTAAAACTCCTACAGAAGTCACTCATTCCTTTCCTAGCAACTTTGCTGTAAAAAAAGTGTGAGTAATCCTGTCTTTCTACTTTTGTAGGTTGGCATTCTCCTCCGAGTAATGGGATATCCTTCCAAAACGATTGTTTATCTAGCTGGCTCAGAAACATTTGGAGGTCAACGTGTTTTAATTCCTCTACGAGCCTTGTTTGCCAACTTAGTGGATCGTACTTCCTTGTGCAGTGAGAAAGATTTGTCTGACTTGGTTGGACCCGAAGCCCCTGTTCCTCTGAATGTTTTCCAGCCACCTCCTGTAAGTGCAGAGAAACTCAAAGAAGAGTGGAAGAAGGCTGGTCCTCGGCCTCGGCCTCTCCCTCCTCCTCCAGATAGACCTATCTACCAACATGAAAAAGAAGGCTGGTATGGCTGGATTACTGAGACTCCAACAGAGCCTGATCCTTCTCCTGTGGATCTGAGGAATCAAGCACACAGGTTGATTTGGGATGCGCTTGATTACATTGTTTCTTTAGAAGCAGATGCTTTCTTTCCAGGATTTAACGATGATGGCAGTGGATGGCCAGATTTTTCAAGCATTGTCATGGGTCATCGATTGTACGAGTCTGCTTCTTCTAGAACATACCGACCTGACAGGTAACTTTTGCTTGAAAGTTGGAATTAAATTAATAATGTCTCCTCCAGATAGGAACTATCGTAGGAGGTACTTTTAAAGCATTAAATTGCCCCATTTTTCAACTATTATGGAACCAAGATTTACTAGTTTAGCTGATATCAAACATTGGCATGACTTCAGGACCCTTCCCTTTTGACTTGAGACTAGGCGGGAAGGGGTCTGAGGTGTTTTTGAAACAGGCCACATTTAATATAACTTTTCATTCCACCTTTATAGGGAGGGAAATGCTCTCTAGAGGGTGGAATGTCATATTTTGAGCATATATTTATAGCACTAACACTAGTCCAACTTTTCTATATCCTGTTTCATGATATGTATACTTAATTTCCACATGTATGCTCATTTTGCACTTGCTATTTATACTATCTGGCATTTTCTTGAACTTCGTGAATCGATGAATCAAAAATTCCATGCATATCTCCACTTAAGCGAAGAGAATTATAAATGCTTACCTGCTTCATACTCAAGTCTTCACACCATGTTCTACTTCTTTGGACATGATATAGACGTTATTTTTTGAAACAGTTGTTGAAATTTCTTTGTTGATACGATCCATTATTCCATTTATGTTGTGTCCTGTTGTCTGGTATTTTTCCCAGGAAAACTTTGGCGGAACTTTTCAACATCACTCGTGACAATATCTACCATCCCAAACATAATTGGACCGTTCTAGTACAAGAACATCTAAACAACAGCTTGGGCGAAGAAGGCCTTATAAGGCAATCTCTCCGTTCAAAACCAACAATGTTTCTTTCACATCCTCTCCCAGAATGCTCTTGTAGAGTAACTTCTTCTGCCAAGCCGGTTAATAGTGTCAAAAGTAAGGATGGCCGAGTCCTATTTGGCGACGAAGAAGAGTGCCCCAAGTGGATGAAGCATGCTAGTCAAGCAGGTTCAGGTACAGAAGGTGGTGTTATGGTGGAAGACAATGGATTACCAGATTATGAAACTAATGATTTGGTGGAAGAATCTGAATCTGAAAAAAATGGCAAAACCAATGTCACTCTGATCTGGGAGCAAGATGAGGAAATGGATCCAAATGACTAAAAGGGGTGACCATATCGGAACTTGTTTGAAGTCTGAAGAACAGCATTCATTTTTCTGCCCCGTCTTTCAAATGAAGAGGTATAGGATATACATGCGTAGGCCACATAGGTGCGAAAATTCAATCTTTGTTCTGAGTAAATGATTGTTCAAATTTATCCTTTCATGTCTTCTATTATTTATTTCTCCATAGATGTACAAAGAGCAAGTACCCCCTTTCCACCCTCTTCTTTTTCATACCCAGCACAATTCCAACTGCAATTTTGGTGTGATATACAGAGTTACGAAATGAAACGAGAAAAGGTGAAATTAGCTCGTGAATTGGAGCTCTTTTGAATCTGCTTTGTATTTTTGTTTATTTTAAAATTAATAAATGAGCAAATTATCCTTTAAGTTCAGCAATACCATAGATCCTGAATTCATTATTGTGTAAATTGTTCTTTTAACTTTTAAAAATAGTATAATTTGATCACTACTGTTAACATAAGTTAAATTTGACCATTAATTAATCAGAAAATGATAAAAAAATAACTTAAAGATTGCAGATTTTTTTTTTTGTATCTTTTGGTTTTTGCTGTAATTTTTGGATCTTCGATTGTATTTTTTGAGTGTTTTTTTATTTTTTGATCAATTAATGATTAAAATTAATTTTTGTTAACTGTAGGGTTATATTGCATTGTTATCAAAAGTTAAGGAAACAATTTGTACAATAAATAAGTTCAGGGTTTATGGTGCTATCGAATTTAAAATTTAAAGGGTAATTGATTCATGGGTAAATGTGTAATTTTATTTTTAAAATATTTTTCAAGGAGCATATAATACTTTAACGTTTTTGTTGGAGTAATTTTACTCTTGAAGTTATGAAAACAAATATTTTTGCTTTTTTTATTAAATTTTGTAACAGCTGATGCTAGAGATCAATGTTGAAAATTTAAAGAAAAGGAAAAAAATGCTTCATTTTAATAATTTTAAAGATAAAATTGTTCTAACAAAAATTTTAGGATATTGGGTGTTCAAAAAATATGTCAAAATGCATCTTTATTCTTGGTTCATTTATTCTTTTAAAAGTGCTTTCTTTGAATGGAGTAGCATGAATACAGTATAACAAAGAAACAATTAACTAATTATTTGATTCCCACTGGCACTTGTAGTTATGTAATTGTATTTGTCAATATGTAAATGTTATCTATAGGCAGAGTACTAGCGGAGATGTGATTTTGCAGTTGTCATGATTTTGAATTTTCATTTCGATGAATTTGATTCAGCTGACCTTTTCATTTGATTAAAGAAATAAGACATTTTTATCAAATAAATATAAATAAAATAAAGCCCATATAATAATTTAAAATTTACAAATTTACCAAACCTGGGAAACCCACCAGAGGAATTTTTTTTTTTTTCATAATAACTGTGCTAAAATGCGATGACGCCAAGGGATAAAAGAAAATGAACCGAGATTAATGATTGAACTCAACAAAAGCTGATATAAACGAGATTATTATGAATCTTAACATATTTACTTTCACTTATATTTTTAAATCAAATTTGTACATTTTGATCCAACATATTGCGAAAAAGTAGAAATCTATGAGAAAAATATTCTCTCTTCGAAAAATGAAGGAAATAAATGACAACCTATAATCCATTCCTTCAATTAGAGGTCAGAGAGCTAACGCATCCGATTATTACATAACATAGACCAATTCGCATATACAGAAATACGCATGTTTTCCATCACTATAATTTCCATATCTTTCTGTACACATGATTAGAAAAAAATTGAGAAAATATATTTACACATCTTTACAGTTTTACTTAATTTTAAATTAAATCCCTACAATTTATTTTATTTTAATTGAGTTTTGATAATTTGATTAATTAAATTTTTTGATTCCTACGTGTTATAATCCTTAAAATTTTCCTTTAAAAAAGACAAAATTAAGAAATTTTACATTTTTTTTTGATTATATAAATTTTAAATTAATTACATAATTTTTATAACTTAAAATTTATATAATTAGGTTGTCTTTTAAATATTTTTAAACATATAAAATTTTCATAAAAAATTAATAAAAATATAAATGGTGTATTAAATCAATTTTTTCCTGATTTTGGCTTAAAAGTATTAAAATTAAATTGTCTGTAAACTCCAAGATTATTTTTTAAAATTTAATAATTTATTATTAATTTTAACTTTCAAGGTTTAATACATATAATAAATCAAATTATGAGGATTTAATTTAAATAAAATAAATTATAAGGATCTAATTTAAAATTAAAAAAAATATAATGACCGATTAATCATCCTTAAAAAATTTAAGGAATTGAATTATTCAGGGACTCACAATATTTTTTTAATAAAATTATTGAAAAAGGTGACACTAGTAAATAATTACTAAGAAAATATCATAAATACTGTATTTGTTTTTATTTTATTGACAATTCTAGATCCATGGCTTCCAATTGAATATGTTTTCTTCAAGCCAATTATTCAACATTCAATTAAATATTTAAATTAGAATAATTTAATAAAGTGAGAATCAAAAAAAAATTAATAAAGTGAAAATCACAAGGGATCCAACGAGGATGCCACCTTTTTCAGGCTCGTCCCTTCGTTGATAGCGCGCGGGTGGGTCATCATGCGCTTATGTAACAATTTAATTTAATTTAATATCTCAATTTTTTTGTCAGGCACGTGATTTATATTCGTCACTCACTGCTTGTTTCATCCCTGTTCTCATTTCAGTTGACAGAGTGGCTCTTGGTGAATTGCTGCTTCAAGACTGATAGCTCTCTCTCTCTCTGACTTCCCCTCCATCTCAGGAAATGGCCGACGAATCCAGAACCACTTGCTGGTCCTTCCTGGTTTGAACTTTTCCTCTCCTTTTTCTATTTGTTTCCCGAGGAAATTTCAAACACAAACTTGCTACACTCTAAGCACGCCTAGCACCCGATTTGAACTTGTTGCTTCTTGGTTGCAACCTTTCGACTGCATTTTCCCGATTTAGTTGTAGGTCTAATGTTCAGGAACCTTAAGTGCAGTAGAACTAGGGTCAATTTTTTCTTCTTGCATTTTCTCGTCATGCAAATGTAGATAGTCTTGTCGATTGAAATGATTTTCGTTCATTTCTTTATTGTTATTTTGACTTTTCAGGTGCATTTAACATGGACGGATATGTTTGACTCTTTTTCTTGTATTTGTTTAATCTATAATCTTCCCGGTTATGTGCCGATCGGATTTTGTAACCTCCTAATCTTGGCAGTTTTGATTGGACTGTGCCGATTAGTCCCCATTTATTTATTTTTATTGTTTATTTTGTATCTTTAGGACTTCCGACAGTTTTATGATGCCAAGTTTAATGAGAAGAAATTGTTGGAGAATGGCGAGGGGATAGATACGCCGGTCAATAGCGGGAATTCTTTGGGGTTACGCCTAATGGCAATAATCATGCCAAAAGGACTACGGAGACGACTATCTTTGAACAGTTTCAGAGCCAGGTATTTTCTCTGACCAGAAAGCATGGATGACATTGTATCTGATGATTGTTCATTATGTGTCAGACAAATAGGGATCTTTTCTTTATGTAGTGTCCATGCTTCGTAGGTGTTAGATGCTGTGATACAACACATTTTCTGGTGTGCTGCTCAGGGACATTTTTAAATGTCACTGTCTGTTCTTGTTTAAGCTCTACTTTCTGTGTTTTAGGGGCAGAATTCAACTCATTCCAATGGATTTTCGTCAAATCATCTGAATGAAAGGCCGTATGATTCTCTCATCTGTTACTTTATAATTTGCACTGTGTAATGCACATGTAACAGTTTTAGATTACTTGGAATTTGAGTCATGTTACAAATTAGGATTGATTGAATATCAAGTCATGAAATAAATATGAGGTTACTCTCTGATTTTTCGTTAGTTGTTGACTGACTGTGCAGCTACTAGTACCGCTGTACTTCAGTTATTATTGTGAATGCCCTAAAATTTTGTTAATGACAAACCTTACTTGGGCAAGCCTTTGAGCCTAGCATGTCCTAAATTTGCTAGTCTTTGCATCGTATATGATCTGGAATGGCAATCATGAGTCTCATTGAAAAAAGTTCAACATTTTATACGTTGATTTTTTAAACTTTGGATACAAAAAGTCACGCTATGGTAGTAATGAGAGCGAGATATTTGTCAAATAATCTAGTTCTTTTTGTAATTTAGGTTTCTTGTATCTTTTAGGCGTTCCTGTTGTGATTGAAAATTTCTATGATCAATTAACTGGAATGTTCTGGGTCATTTGCATGATGAAACTACTGGTTATCATCTGTTCTGTGATGATTTATAATAATTCAATGATAGTTAGAGTCCTATATGCTCAATTAATTTGAGGCTTAAAGTAGGTTCAAGTAGGATTAAAGAAGTGTTTTAATTCATTTTGAGCATGCCGCACATGTCTTTGGTTTGCACCAAGATAAAACGAATAAAAAGAAGATGAAATTATCCAACCATAATAATAATAATAATAATAATATAACAACAATAACAACAACAACAAGATGATGATGATATCATGTACATATGCATGTTTCAACATAACCAGAAGCTGATATGAAACTTTGGTCTTTCATCATGACTGTTACCTTTGGGAGTATCATCTTTCAAGTTACCTGAGGTACTATCGGAGATAGAATTCACTGACCCTACTGATAAGCATCACTCAACATTTTCAGGCAAAAGCCTTTACTTCCACCTTTTGAATCAGTTGATATGCGTGCTTTAGGAGAGAGTTTATGTAGGTAAGTTTTCTCTTCTTTCTCCCTCCTGAAAAACACAAATTACTTCCACTGAGGAAATTACATGTCTGTTGACCAGGATTGTCATGTATTTTTTTTTTCTTTTTTAAGATTCATTAGCATTTACTAACATCTCTCATCATACTATTTGAAGGGATATCATTCGTGGGAGCCCAGATGTTAACTGGGAAAGCATCAAGGGGTTAGACAATGCCAAACGTTTACTGAAAGAGGCTGTTGTGATGCCAATTAAGTATCCCAAGTAGGTGCCATTATCAAATACATGATATTATATGCATGCATGCATGTGTATTATAGCTGTTTATTTATTTATTTTGTTTTTTTGAACTGATCTCTTATGAACTGTAGTGCCACTGTTTTTCCTTTTTGTTTTCTCTTTATCACGCCTTTGTACTTCTTTTCTTTCTCTTAATTTCTCATATCAATTAAAAAAAAATCATTTTCTGGAAAGATTCTCTCGTACATAAATTCCTTGAATCAAAGAAGGCAAAATAGTCTGATTCATCTACCTCTCAAAAAAAAAAAAAAAAAAGATGAAG